TCCTGACAGAGAAGCTTCTGGGGAATGTAAATCAAGCCCCTGCAACAATCCAGACAGGCATTCTTTAGCATCCTCCATTAACGCCACCCTACGGGTCAGTGCAGAAACCTCAAGGTCCGAATGGGATGGAAAAAAATAAGTCCCTCAATCCTTTAATCTATTCCTAGTAGATAACTATCATTATCTGCAATCACTTCTATATATAATTAGAGGGTGCATTTTTGCATTACAAAAACTATCCCTAATTATGTGTCATTTGCAAATTGCTGCAGATCTACATTCATCCTTATGATGAAATGAGAGTCCTTCTCACTGTATTAGTATCATTTCTATACTCTTTCTCCCCTACCCCCAAACTCCTAATTTAGTGATAGGTAGCATTCAAAATGTTTTTTTGTTAAAGTGCCTACCTGTCTTTCGAGCATCCACACAGCATGTTCTGTGTCAAACCACCCATTCATCCCCTTGTCATCCTCTGGCAAAGGCAGGAGATAACTCATGATGAGCAAAGCAGAGACCCAGGCAGGTTTTTATGCAAATGCTTTATTCTCTACTTGGAGTTCAGAGACATCTGATTACTCTAAGTACTTTTTAGTTCCATTATTTTAAAATAGTCCTGTAAAGTTATAATAAAGTTATCCTTTTGGATGGTCCACCTTCAAGGGAAAAGGGAAAAGGATTTTTTTTTTTTTTACACCACACAGATATATCCAGGTTACCCTGTGACTGAGAGACAGGATAATAAAAAAAAAGTTCATTGTTTTTTACAAACTTTTAGCATACCCAGGGATTCGTGAGCCCACAAAATTTCTTTCAACAAGAACAAACATTTCAGAAAGCCAAGGCATATGTGACTAGAGCAAATGATTTCACAGTCTTCAAAATTTATTTCAATGATTGACTACATTATTGCCAAAATATTATTTTATCAGCTATATTGAAGTCACTTATCTTTCTGTCTCCTAACATGAATTAATGTAATCCTGCCCAAAGTAGCAGTCTTTATTCACTGACAAATAAGGGGGAAATTCAAACTATTAAAATCTGTTCATGTGATTGGAAAAGGATTGGGAATACCAAGAATTAGTAAATTACAGTCATTCATAAATATAAATAAAACCAACTGCATCATCATTTATTTTTGTTGGAATAAGATGACTCCACAGGAATAAAGGCAGGTTTCTTCATATTGGTGTCCATTGTTTAACATTTACCAGGAAAACACTCATTTTTTTTTCTCTTACATATTAACAAAGCTTATGTTATCTCCAGGTTATTTATTTCATTTCCAGCAATTAAAAAAAAACCTAGCACAGCTGAAAATATTATGAGAAAACATTCACATTATGCTATTAAATAACTGTAGGGAAGTAGTACCTAAGAATACTCATGCTTTTGTCATCAACAAAGTTATCAAAATGTTTATTATGAGCTCTGCATTTATGTCCTCTCTGTTAAGATATCTGATGTTCCTTTAAAAAAAAAAAACAGGCAAAGATACAAATGCTTTTCAGTCTGTTCCAATCCTCTACTTTCATCTACTGCTCATATTTAATGTTTTCCATGATTCAGTATTGGCATATATTCATGACACTTTCCTGGGCAATCTCATCCCCTTTGAATTATTATTACTCTTTCCACAAGTAATATGGCAGAGTGAGGACTTCATAGCACAATGGCTAAGAACACAGGTTTGTGCAATTAGGCAAGAGAAGGAAATAAAAGGGATTAAAAATAGGAAGGGAAGAAGTCAAATTATCACTGTTCGCAGTTAATATGTTCCTGTTCTTAGATGATCCTAAAAACTCCTCCAAAAGACCACTAGGGCTAATAAACAAATTCAGCAAAGTAGCAGTTTACAAAATCAGCATACAAAAATCAGTAGTTTTCTTATATACCAACAACGAAACTGATGAGGAAAAAAGAAAAACCAGGAAAACAATTCTATTCACAATAGCCTCAAATAAAATAAAAGACCTAGGAATAAATCTAACCAATGAAGTGAAAGACATTTACAATGAAAATTATAGATGAATGATTTTAAAGAAATCATTGAAGAAAAAATTGAAGACCTCAGAAAATGGAAAGAATTCCCATGTTCATGGACAGGCAGAATTAATATTGGTAAAATGGACATACTACCAAAAGCAATATACAGATTCAATGCAATTCCCATCAAAATCCAAATGATGTTATTCACAGAACTAGAAGAATAGAGGACCCAGAATAATCAAAACAATTCAAAATCAAATAAACAATGCTGGAGGCGTCACAACACAGGACTTCAAGATATACTATAGTGCTGTAGTAACGAAAATTGCATGGTACTGGTATAAACTCAGAAACATAGACCAATAGTACAGAACAGAAAGCACAGAGACAAACCCACACACCTACAGTCATCTAATCCTTGACAAAGGTGCCAAAAACATACATTGGAGAAAAGACAACCTTTTAAACAAATGATGCTTGAAAAACTGGTTATCTATATGTAGCAAAATGAAACTAAATCCTTATTTCTCACTCTGTACACACATAAAAAAACTACTCAAAATGGAATTAGACCAGAAACAATAAAACTCCTAGAAGAAAACATAGGGTCAACATTCCAGCATATAGGTATTATTTTCTCAATAGGATCACTAAACTCAGAAAATAATGCCAAGAGTTAATAAATGGGATGGCATCAAATTAAAAAGCTTCTACTCAGCAAAGAAAACAATTAGAAAAGGGAAGAGAGAATCCACAGAATAGGAGAAAATCTTTGTGAGTTATTCTTGTGACGAAGAATTAATATATGAGAGAAAACATACAACCCTTGAACTTCTGAGTTTTGTTTATTTCACTTCATATAAAGTTCTGAATTTCCATCCATTTTATGTAGTAGAGTACATGAAAACAAAAAAAAATTAACACCCCAAACCCAAATAATCCGATTAATAAATGGGCAAGTGAATTAAACAGGTACTTCTCAACAGAAGAAATACAAATGATCAACAAATATATGAAAAATATTCAAAATCATTAGCAATTAGTGAAATGTAAATCAAAACTATGCTGAAAGACAGTCATCAAGAATACAAATAATAATAAATTCTGGAGGGCATGTGGAGAAAAAGGAATACTTTTACTCTACTGGTGGGGTTGTAAATTTGTCTAACCATTTTGGAAATCAGCATGAAGATTCCTCAAAAGACTAGGCAGCTAAACAATTCCTTAGTATTTACCCTAAAGAATTAAAGTCATCATAGTGTAGTAATACATGCACACAGGTGTTTATAGCTCTACAAGTTCCAGTAGCCAAACTATAGAACCAGCCTAGATGCCCATCAATGAATGAATAAAGAAAATGTGGCATATATACTCAATGGAGTTTTATTCAACCATAAAGAAAAATGAAATTATGTCATTTGCAGGAAAATGGATGGGAGTTCAGAACATTATATAAAGTGAAATAAGCAAAACTCAGAAGTTCAAGGGTTGTATGTTTTCTCTCATAGGTGGAAACTAGAGAGGAAAAAAAAGGAAAAGAAAAGTGGAGGATACGATGGGGGGGGAATCTCATGAAAATCAAAGAGAGATCAATAGGACAGAGGAAAGGGTACATGGGGAGAGAGTAAGGAAGGGAAAGGAAAAGTAATGGAGAATGATATTGGCCAAATTATATTGCTATATTTTTGTGCATGTATGAATTTTCAAAAACCCACAATTATATTTGGAAACTAAAACATCCTTCTCTAGTAATTAATACATGGAATGATTAGGCAACTGGATAAGGGATTTGTGCTAAAACTGTCAAAGATGGTGGTTGTGATGTGTACTGAGATGGGAGTATTGGGGAGGAACAGATTTGGGGGCAGGGATGAGAAAGAGGGTGAGCTGAATTTTTGAGATATTTGGAGAATAACTGTCAAGGTAGATCTAGATATACGAGAATGTGGAAAGGACAGAAATAATGATTTTCCGTCAACCACATGCAGGTGGTGATTGAGGCAATGAGCTTAGCTGGATTTCTCTAGGAGGGAATATGGATGGTTGATTTTTTTTTAAAATAGAGTCATAAAGTTTTAGGAATTCTGGCATTTTAAGTCTGTGTAAAGACAGATTAGCTTGTGAAGTAAAACAGAAAAGTGGTGAAATATGTTAGTGAAAAACAGAACATGTGTGACATTGTAGACATCAAGGGCACGTAGTATTTCAAAAGGAACAGAGAATGTCCAAATTGAACGTGCTGAAAAGACAGAACTAAACTGCCAGCCACAAGATTTCTTGTGACTGAGGTCACTGATGACCTTGGCAAGAAGAATTTGGTGGAAGAAAGAGATTAGAATTCAGTGCAGAGAGAGGGTAAAGGAGTGAGGGGAAAAGATTAAGACATGGAGATGGTAAGTGTAGGCCTTTCTTTTCAGAATTTTGAAAGGAGTGGAATGAAGGGAGAGGTTTGGTTGGTTGATTGATTTTTTAATTTATTTGTTGTTATTAAATACACATGACAGTAGAGTGTATTTTGACATAAATACATAGTGTATTTGTACATGTACTGATTGATGGTTACAGGTGGCATTTTTATTGTTTTTTTTTCTTCTTTCCTTCCTTCCTTTGTTTCTCCCTCCCTCCTTCCCTCCCTTTTTTCTTCCTTCCTTCTCTCCTTCTTAAAGACCAAGCAAAGTAGAGAGCAAGAGGCTAAGGTAAAAGCAGAGTTGATTCTGTTACTTTTTGCAGAAGGAAGGAAAGAAGTAGAAAGCAACCGCTAAGGGGTGGAATTATGCCTATTCTTGTCAGGGAAAAAAAGGAGATGCTGAGCAAGGGATCTTGGCTCTACTTTCAGCGATGTTACTGCCGTCATGGCTAAGGTATAAAATGGCAGCAGTGTGCTGCTCTGTGCTCTTAAATCCACATCCATAAGGAAAATTCATAATATCTTTCCCAGAAAAAAAAATTTAGCAAAATTGCATTGAATTTTGCTTTGTTGACTTGGGTCATATTTGAAATCCTGAAATAATAACTGAGTTGAGGGAGAATGAGATGCACTGAACAACTTGGATTTGTGGTCAAAAGTGGGGGTGAGTGGTGAACCACAGGGCCCACAGTGGGAACTCATAGGTCCCCAAATGGACAAGGAAGGTCAAATCCAGATCACTCAAAATATTATCAGTTAATAATTTCACTTTTCTGCCTATTACATAATTTTTAATAGAACTATTCGTAAATGTGACAAATTACTGATTTGAGTTTTTCTTCTTCTCCCCTTTATTTTAAACTTTTGCTGAAGCTGCTGGAGCAGAATAATATAACAGAAAGGAAGAAGCTTGGTGCCTGAGGTCTGGATTGTGGTGAGTGGTTATAACACTAACCAATAATTAAGATGAGAAAACAATTCTTAGGGGAAAAACATAACGAATGTTTCTCTTTTTACTTAATTTTAAATATGTAAAGTTCACTGTGTTTAAAAATGCAAAAGATATAATTCCAATGCTATTAAACATACCTCTATTATTCTCTGAGTTATATAGATACCTTGCTAAAATTAGTTTTCTATCAGTTGCCGGCATTAAGCATATTTTGGCATAGAAGGATATTTGTATATTTTGCAAACATATTTTGCAAGCATATTTTGTTTACATTCGGTAAAATACAGAGCAAAATCTCAACCCAGTAGGAATTCTAGTCTAACCCCATGTAACCATATAAAGACTTTAATACAATCAGCTCTAGTGACCTGTGAGTTCCTCAAGAGTTCCCATTAAGGGGCTGGGGATGTGGCTCAAGTGGTAGTGCGCTCGCCTGGCATGCCTGCGGCCCGGGTTCGATCCTCAGCACCACATACCAACAAACAAAGATGTTGTGTCCGCCGAGAACTAAAAAATAAATATTTTTTAAAAAAATTTTCTCTCTCTCTCTCTCTCAAAAAAAAAAAAATCTCCATTAAACTTCATTTTTATTTGTATTTATTTTGTCTAGCCCTGGGCTTAGGATGCGAGAGATGTCCATACCAGGGTTTGCCAATTTGATATGTTAGTAGTTTTTATTTTTGTTTTTGTTTTTTTCTGAAATCTCTGTTAGGCATCGCTATTTGAAGGATTCATGAGCATCCTCATTCCACTGGTTAAGACTATTAAAACATTTTGATTGCCGATGGAGTATTCTGCTATTTCCTTTCCTGATTTTCTCCAACAGTTCTTATGTGCATCTTTCCCCCTGAATTGCATGCTTCTTTCAGTAGAGAAAGCATATTCTAATTATAAATAAATTTGTTCGCTGCCCCGTTTATTCATTCTGCAAGTATTTATTACTTGTCCTCTACAGGTTAGAAACCATATTATGAAAATAAATAGGAGACAATCCCATGAGAACATTTATTGCCATGTCTAACCTGGACTGTGTGAGTGACTTCTTTCTATCCCTGCCACAGTACACAGCAGAGGATGGTGGCACATAGTAGAAGTTCCAGAAATGCTTCTTTAGTTGATTCAGGAGAATTATACCAAAGTAACTCTGTCTGCAGGTCTCCTCTACATGAGATACCAAATTAAATCACAAGTCATATTATTCTTCCGTCTTCTTCAGCTAACAGCTAATTAATAAATACCATTTATTCAAACCTATCATGTACAAACTTACATACATTATTTTTTTAAAAAACATAACAAGAACTTTATAAACTTCCTCATTTTATACAAGAGGATTCTAAGACTGAAAGAGGGTAGAAACTCTTTACACATTAAGTATCAGAGGTAGGATTTGAACCCAGGGTTGTCTGGGAATGAAGGTAATAGTTCTTGTCATCCTGACTCCAAAGCCCTCTTAAAATATCCCCTTTTCATACCCTGAGTTCCAATAAGCAAATCTCTAATTCAGAAGCTTCCTTCTTTCTCCCTGTACCTGAACTTTTGATAAGAGAAATCTAATTGTTCAGGCTCAATATGAACTCATATGTTTGATAATATTAATAACCATGAATCTTCTGCCGAAAAGACTGCACATTCATCTCTCGTTTTAAGAGAGGGGCCATTCGGTGACTGTTTTAAACATTCTGTTATGCCTCTACCTGTTTGGGCTCAGTAGTAAAGGAGAAAGTTTCAGGGGCCACCTGAGTTTGGCCTGCAGTTTCTAGGCCTTGGCAGGTAATCAGCTAGTGGACACAGAGTCACCTTGGTGATCTCTTGCACTCAGATGGGAATACCACTATTGAGCACAATAGGCTCTTTGAACTCCAAATGTTCATGATTCTTCTCACTCTTTAGAGGTTCACATGTGTAAACATCATCAAGAGAGCTTTGTTCTCATTGTTCCTGCACGTATACAATACCTATATTTTGCTCTTGTTTATGAAACCTATTTCTGTTACATGTTCTTACAACCACAATGGGGTCCTTTTCATTTTGACTTATTATCTCAGAGTTGTAGTGGGAGCAGATCCAGCTGAAAACCAGGCTTGTTGGAAACAATATAAACACGGGCTCACAAAGCTTGGTTGCTAGGTTATCCACACAATGAAAAATAGCCACATAGGGTTTATCACCAGGAGATAATAAAGGGACAAGGTGATGAGGAAAAAAAATCAATTGCCAGTGATTCCATTGAGAGATGGTCTTTGAGGTCATTGTCAATGAGCATCTTCACCATTGCCTTTTTGAAAGGTTAAAGTTTCCTGGGAAAGAACAAAAATAATGTATGTCCTGAAACAATAACATGCAGAGACAAGACAGCGCCAGAAAGACAGCGCCTGTCCAGCTGTGTTTCCTGCCAGTCCTGGTCCAACACACCCCACCCAGACTGCGAGTTAAGTTTCTAAAGAATAACTATACCAAGCAATGTCATGATGGATGACCTCTTTCCAATGGCTTCATGGCTTATCTTTGGGGACAGAGAGTTAGGAGAGATAGCAGGCTGTGCACTGTTGTCACAGTATGATGAGGGACCAATGGAGATAACAGGTCACGTTCTGGAGTTCTAGCTCACATGGGAATATAGGGGCTGAGTTCCACCTTCTGAGGCCTCTGAAATCAGCACTGTCTGATACCACTCCTATAACAAAACAAATCTCAATTTCATTTATGTATATCATGGTTTTTGCACTGATTTTATAGTTTCTAAGAAGTAATTTACTAATTTAATTAAATTTACTAATTTAATCAACTCCCCTATAAAGTACGCAGTATCACTCCCATTTTACAGTTGAAGAAACTGAACATAGGGGGAGCGAAATAACATGTGCAGGTCACAGGTCTGATAAGTGGTAAAACTCTTGAACTCTGGAACAGTACTTGGTCACATGATTCTGCCTTTTTTTAAAAAAAATTACTGTTAAAAAATTATTATTTTCAATAAACTCTTAGGCAAAGCTTACAAAAATAAACTGTCAACAAAAGTTCAAGAGTCATAAGCCTTCATTATAGGATGCCATAACTTGGTAATTTTGTTTTTATATTTAAATCACATGTCATTAATGCTGTCAGCCGTAGGTGAAGCAGCTGATTGTCTAGAACAGCAAAAGAGTCCGCCTTCAGGCATTCTTAGCTCTTGCTTCTTCTGCTGAAGTGTGTTTCAATGTGAGTGTGCAGCCTGCTCACAGGAAGCACCATCTATCCCTTGGGAGCATCCACACCTATGTGAGAGATTCAGAGGAAACTATAGTAAAGCAAATGTGGAGAGCTATCATAAGACAAATAAAAATAAATACAATAAAACGGGCACATACAGGAAATGTTGGGCCTATAGCAAATTACTTCCAATTTGAGACTGGGTCTGGGTGTTTTAGGTTTGTGTTCTTGACCCTCTGTTATTTGGTACAGAGGTGACGCTTTGGTGGAAAAAATGGAACATGAAACTGAAAAAGAAAACTCAAGTGCTACTTGTGCCAAAAGGAAAGTTCTGCCAGACTTGTTATCTTACTGCCTGCAGAAGGGCTTATACCTTCAGCACTTTTATAATTTGAAGGGATGTCTAGAAAAATTACATGAAGAAAATAGAAAAGAGGTCCTTGATGTGAGACTCATGAACAAAGCAGTTTATTAAAAAGCAGGAGAAAAATAAAGTCAATCTCTTGAGAAAGATAAGAGGAAGGTGGGGAAGAGAAATGAAGGGAGGGAGTGAAAGAAGGGAAGGAAGGAAGAGAAAGAAAGAGAGAGAGAGAGAGAGAGAGAGAGAGAGAGAGAGAGAGAGAGAGAGGAAGTTAAGTAAATCAGTCCTAAGTACCACGGTATTCATTGAACTCTCTGTGAACAGAACATGATCTAGGGCAGTATGAGTAGCTTCTAAGGAAAAGAAAAGTTTTTAACCTATGAGTAGCTTCCAAGAAAATGGCACAGACAAGATCAACATAAATTATGATGCCTAGAATTATAAATACAGTGAGTGAAGATAGCAGCTGAGGCCAGTTTGGTTTTGGTGATATGGTTATCATCTATGGGCAAGAAAGGAGCTCTAAAGGCCTGGGTCTATTCATTTAGTACTTCAATGCCCAAAAGGTAAAACCTTCATCAATCCCAACAGGTCGACTTGTGCGTGCACCCTATAAAGTGTCCATCACTCTTTGTATAACAAAACAAATATAGATGAAAGCACTCTCTGGATCAAGGGGTTTGGGCTGTTATTGGGTCCTAGGAATAACACAGGTTGTTTCTACAGTCCCTCCATCAGGGAAACACTGAACATCAATTAAAGCATTGAGTGTACAATGGCTGGAGGCGTGGGTGGTTGGCAGAGTCCACACGCCCTGCTCTTCCTCCTCTTCTGCTCTCTGATCCCCCATGGCCAAGATTCAGTGAAAGCCCCACTCAGCACTGCCCGCCACCCCAGGAGTCATCCTGAAATGACAGGATGAAACAGGCAGATATTCTGTTATTTTGGATACAGCAACTCTCACTGAGATTTTAGTGACCAAAATGTGAAGTTTGTCTCCAGCTTAAGTGAAATCTCAACTTACCAAATACAAAATAAAATTCAATTTAATAACCTAGCTTTGCCATTTTTTCCCCTCCATCTGCTTAACATCTTGGTCTAAACTTGATTATGCTTTTTGTTAAAAAAACTAAAATTGAATAAAAATCCATTTGAATATTAACCAAACTTAGGTACTATCTCTGGAGATCTTATTAATCTTAAAAACAATTCTGATTCACTTGGATCATATAATTGATATCATTATATAAATCTAATTCTAATTCAATTATATAATCCAATTTTTCAAATGGGACTCAGTAAAATCTTCTCAAATTGCATGAAGGAAAAAAAGTGTCAAACTTTTTTAATTATTGAAAAGAATAATTCTTTTAAAAGAATCCATTGAAGACTCCACAATTATATTTTTTAAAAAATAAGTTAAATTTTAAACATTTCCCTAGTTAGAAAGTTGAGTCCAAGAAAGTTTCAAAGAAAAGTACTTGAAAGGAAACAAATAAATTATTATGCAAAAGAAACAGAGGCTCTGTTGAAGGGAAGCATAATTACTTAAATATTTATTTTTAAAGATTTTGTTGGCCTGAATAGCTAGCAACATCTAATTAATGTTTTATAAATCTGTTGCTATGCATAACATTCTACTTGTGGCATATTTTAATACATTATTGGGTCATGTTTTTGCACAGTTATAAAATAAATGCAGTGTTCTTATTACTCAACAGCACATAACTGATTTCATTAAAAACATCATCATTTCTGGGAAAGACACCATGCCTACGCTATTACTAAGGATGACAGGGGTGTGGCCACCATTTGGTTTCCATCCTCTCCATCTTTCCTGTACTAGATCTAACAAACATTTTGAGAAACAGCAGACTTGGAATTTGGGGCACTCTAAGACATTTAAAGTATCCTTTTTTTTTTTTTTTGCAAGGGAGATTATTTAAATTTGAAAAATTTATCAGCCTGTTAGTGGCTTGGGGGCCTGTTTAAACTGTTCTGAATAATATTCTTTGAACCCTGAGGAACAGATCTCATTTTACTTCAGCAAAGTGGGGCAGGTGTTATCTGACTATTTATATAAACTATTCATATATAATTATTCATACATGAATATCTGACTATTCATATAAACCAAAAAGAATCAGTGGACATTATTTTCTTATACTCATATACGAATACATGATCAGTGTAGCTCCACATCATGTACAATGAATGGAAAGAATGGTAAGTTGTATTCCATGTATGTAAAATGTGTCAAAATACATTCTCCTCTCAGAAAGTCACCAGGCCCTCGATGTCTCCCAGTTGTGAGTCCCGATTTCTGTCTTTTGGACTCTTTCATGTTCTTCCACATTGCCTGTCTTTGACAGTATCCCTCAAGGACCTTCTTCCCCAACCAGCTTTTTCTCTCTTCTCCACACCACTTTATAATCGCATCTTACATGTGAGTTTGGTTTACTTGAGGCTATGGCAATTGTAAAGCTCTAATAATGTTGCTTCCTGGCAATTTATATTTTATTCCTTAGTCCAAAATTCCAAAGGAAAATCATAGTTGATCCAATTCATTTTTGTGCAGCGCCCTGGGGTGGGTGAGTATGAGCCTATGAAGTGACTGTCCTAATATCAGGCTTGCTCAATTTTGGTGCAGGCAGGAGTTCAAGATGTTAAGGAACCAAGACTGTGGATGCAGCCTGTTCCCAAAAAGACTGATGGCAGAGCTGAGTGGACAATTATCTCTAGGAAAACTTATGCATGCATTTAGTTATTAATTTATTTTTAATTAACAAATATTAACTGTGGATAATTTGGGGGCAAAATATGATGATTTGACATATTTTACATACACAGAATATAACTTACCATTCTTTCCATTCATTGAACATGATGTGGAGCTACATGGATCGTGTGTATTTGTATATGGGTACAGGAAAGTAATGTCCACTGCCTTTCTACTGTCTTTCCTATTCTCATTCCCCTTCCCTTCCCTTCATTCCTCTCTGTCTAATCCAAAGTACTTCTATTATTCCCTCCTCCCCCCTCCTTATTCTATTTTAGCATCCACATATCAGGGAGAACATTCGGTCACAGTACATTTTTTATTTGACAACCTCATGAAATTTATCCATTCTGTCATCATGAAGGAAAAAAATATCTGTATGCATAATCTCCCTCTTGACATAAAATCTAGACTTGTGTCCTTCACAGCACAAAACTTAACATTGGAGCCTCCAAAAGATGCTGGAGGCTCTGTGAATTTTAATCTCTGAAATGGGATGAATATGATTTATATATAATTTCACTAAGGACTGAATAGAAGCCAATAGAGGAGTCCAGGCACAGAGGGCGGGGGCAGGTGGATATATGGGGAGGAGAAGAAAGGGGACGCACAGAAGAGTGATGTGTCCTTAATAAATCCTGGAGGTCACAGGTTAAAGTCTGGCCATGTTTGTTTGCTTGTTGCTTTTTTCCCCACCATGTTTGTTATGATTACTTTCTCGTGGTAGATACTTAAACACTGAGTTGCTTAAAAAAGATCTTCTACTTGCCTGGACCAGGTGACCAAGGTCAACATCAACAGTGTAAGTCATGTTGGTAGCACATACCCTGGATGCAATAGGTAGGAGTGATCCTCCATCTGTGCTCTTCCCTACAAAACCCTATAATCCCAGTAAAAATAGGAGAGATACATCAGACAACACTCCACTGAGAAACACTCCTTAAAAAAAAAATAAGCCTAACAAGTATTCCTCAAAATAGCCAAGGTTCTAAAACAAGGAATGTCTGAGAAACTGTCACAGCCCTGAAGATCCTAAGAAGTCAACTGCACGAAAATGTGGCAACCCTGGATGACATTCTGACACAGAGAAAGGACACCATTAAAAACTCAGAAAATATGAATAAATAATAGACTTTAGTTAATAATAGTGTACCAATATTGGCTCATCCATTTTAACCAATGTAGCCATTCGAATGTAAGATGTAAATACTAGGAGACCTAGGATACAGGAATACAGGATTTCTCTGTACTAGCTTTCTAATTTTTCAGTAAATTGATAATTATTAAAAAGCAAATATTATTTTTAAAAAATAAATACTAGTTAGAAGAAATTGACAAAAACTTTTTGTTTGTTTTCATGAGAAATTTTAATATAGTCGTTCTTATACTATAACTGTACTTCAGAGATTCTGCTACAAATTCTCCAGTTTAGGATATGGATACTTCATGAAGTCATCTTGACCATGGGTATGGAGATTTAAAATACAGAAAGAAAGGGGGAGTAGAAGGCCTTTTGTTAAGTACATGCCCTAAAGAACAATCAAGAATTTCAAGACACAGTCAAGCCTTTAAGAGCAAGATCTACTTTTTAAAAGCAATGAAAGTGTACTGTGAGAAATATTGTAAATATAGGAAAGGGGAAAAAAACCCCACATTTTCTCCCCCTATAACAACATATCACCTAATTAATTATTATTATAATTAATTATTATTATTATTATTCCATATTTCTTCTCATTTGCTGTGATTCTAGTGCTGAAATTGGGCATTTGGATTTTTATATTACAGCTTTATCATAAAAACTCCTAGATTACTTCCTTTCTTCCAATTTTTACTTTAAAATACTGTAAAATAGTCCATCAAGTGTATGTACCAAAATTCAATTAAACAATGTCCTAATGCTAACATTTCAAATAACTATCTCT